CAGGAACTGGGGGAGGAAGCAGGAGCTCACTCTGCTGCGCAAAGGCTGGGCTCAAACCGCTGAAGTGTCGACCATTTCTGGCCAGCAACTTTCAGCGTCATTAAGCCGCTGCACCACCGCATCCGCAAATGATGAATATATCAGCATTAAAAAATATATATCGCTGAACAAGCAATTTAGTGCACATTAAAAGATTAGCTTAAAAATAAGCAGGCTGACATACTGTCAGACCTGATAAAACCAGGAAGCCCTATCCTTAGGTAGAGTGAAGCATCACGAGAGGCAGCAGATTTGGGGGTATTGGCTCTAGCACTTCTCTCCATTCCTTGCAGCAAAAATAAAATATAACAACTAAGGATTTGCTGTTCTTTCTGTCCTGCAAAAGAATAGCAAATCCTTAATTGTTATGCCTCATTTTTGCTGCCAGGAATGGAGAGAAGTGCTAGAGCCAATACTCCCAAATACTTTGTTACTACAGAACAGGGATCTTAAATCATCAGAAGTGATGCACAAAGACTAGCTCATTAGCTTGAAGACCACAGCACTGAAGTCTTTTTGTACATTGACACAAATAGAGTAAAAAATGAAGAAAATGAAGAGTATTGAGATATGCCATTTAATAATTACATTAAATTTAAAAATTCTAATCCTACCCAATCCTAGGGGACATGGCATATAAAATGTTGACTGGGGCATGTTTGTGCCATAGTTAGGATAATGTGATGATAAGCCCATAGTATAAGAGCCTTGCCAATAATACATGTGAAAAAGATCTTAAACCATCATTCATACGTTCACTGGCACATGAGTCAGCAGCATGGCATGCCTGTGAAAAAAGCAAATGCAATTTTAGCTTGCAACAATGAAACTATAATTTCTAAATCATGGAAAGTAATAATTTTGCCTTATTTGGATCCCAAAATTCAGTCCAATTCTGGATACAGCACTTTAAGAATAAAGTGGATAAGGCAGAATAGGTCCAAAGCAGGTCAATAAGGATTAGAGAGAACTGAAAACTTCGTCTTGAGAGCAGAGGTACCAGGTATCTTAAGCCTTGGGAAAAAATGAATGAATAGGGTGGTATTACTCAAATAACTAAAGAGGTATCACACAGAAGGGCATAACCTATTTTCTATCATCCCAGAGACACGCAAAAAGGGTCCATTATTAAGTTATAGGAAGATAGATTCCAGGTAACAGTAATAACAGATCAAGAGCAAAATAAATTACCTAGAAAGATAATCCTTCCCCTTCACTAGGGGTTTTCAGGCACTGCCTCCACAAACTTTTTTCAGAAATATTGAAAATTCCTGTTGGGAATTGATGCCTAAATAGCTCTGTGATTCTACTTCCAAATTACTTCCCTTTCTTCCAATCATCCATGCCTCCCATTAAAGTTATTCTTATTTATCTATTCATTTGATTTACATAGCTGGTGACTATAAGGACACTTGTATAATTTTCTTAACCACAGTATAAAAACTATTCACTATTGCCTTCTTTCAGGATCCTTTCTGACTTCATGGTTTAGCCTACAGCTTTGGCATTCCCTGTTGGTTTCCATTCAAGTACAGGCCCAACTCTTAGCTTTTAAACCCAGGTAAAGTTAGTTATGCCTCTGATAGAATAAAGTTGTTTACTATTGGGTAACCTACTCACATATAAATTGAAAATTAGTTTTATCAGTGTTCAGCTGTAGGCTACTAAAACTCTGTTGTTCCTTTATTTATACTATTTCTTTAATTGATTTGATCCCTAGTCTGTAATGTCACTAAAGTTTCTTGATTGAAATTTATGTTTGGCTGTCTAGATTGATCAAGGAATATATATAATCTGATCCAAAGGAGGTAAGGGGAGACCAACTCACTCCATTGATTTAGCTGGAAGTGCTTCATCTCATGCATTTAGGAGAGTTTCCTTCATTCCAAAATATCAGAGATCAAATAATGCTATTGACCAAACCACTTCAAAGTGTTTCTTTTGTATTGGTTCATTTTTGTATTCAGTCCACATTCATTCAACACCCATTCATCCTTGATCTAAATTCTTGTTTTACCATAAGATCCACCCTTCATTAACAATTTATCCCATATTCAGAACCTCTCATCACCCTTGTATCAATTAGTTCTCTCAATCTTTTATCATAGACAATAAAAATCAAGAATGCTTTTAGATTCTTTGCCATTTGCAAAGTAGACCTATGTTTAAACCATGTATTCTAAATAAACACCACATAACTTTTTTCTAAACAGATGCCAAATAACTGTTCTGGTTTTCCTGGATCTCCATGATCTTTTGGTGACTTTCAATACTATGGTATCTTCAGAATAGGGATTAGGAGTGGGAGGTACAGTGATGCTGTTGTTCTTCTTTGTCTGTGGTTGGGCTCAGTTGATGTGGTGGGGAGGGGACAGGAGGGGAAGGGAGAGAAATTGAACCAGAAACCTCTGACATGTGGAGTGCCTCAGGGTTTGATGTCATTATCCCTCCTGTTAAACATCTACATGAAAATAAAAATCTACAAGAAGCCACTTGGGTGAAATCACCCATTGGTTTTGGGTGTTGTACATCTCGACCTCAAGCCGACCAGGTGATGTTGTCAAAGCTTTGTCCCTGTGTCTGAAGGCTATGCAGATATGGATGGGAAGAAACAGGCTCAAATTTAACACTGACATAACTAAGTGGCTGTGGGCATTTGTCAGCCCTTTGAGGTAAACCAGGTTAGGATACAGACTCCACAAGGACTATTAGAATTTCTACTTCTATTGCATGGTAAAATAACAGAATCTTGAAAACCTCTCTCCCCTTTCTTATAACAAAAAAAAATCAAGGCAGGGCAATCCTGGGTTTCTTTCTTATACCCGCCTCTCTTTCAGGGCTGATAACTGTTTAGATGGTAACTGTTCTTGTATTCCTTCTTCAAGGTTATTTCCATACTCCACTACACTATTTGGATCACCCAGGTCTGGAGATGTTCTACCTTTAGTCCTGAACGGGATTGCACTTCTCCCTTCAGGACTGGTATACAATGTGGGGGTCTTCCTGGACTCATAGCCTTTGTTCAAGGAGTAGTTGGCAGTTGCGGCCAGGAAGGCCTTTGAGCAAATTCATTAATTAGACAGTGTCACCTTGGGACACTGTCTAATTAATGAATTTGATGGGACATGAAAGCAGGTCTTCTCTGTTGTGGTGCCTGCCCTCTAGAATGATATCTGTCCCCCAGAGATTTGTATGGCCCCCACCCTAATCCTGTTCAAACATGCCCTTAAAACCTGGCTTTTCTGTAGGCTTTGGGGTAGTGTGGTGGGTGGAACCCTTGTGAGATGCTTGTTTTAGTGGTGTGGTGTTTTTTTCTTTCTGGATATTTATTTTGTATAGTCTCCATTTTATTCTATTTGTTATTGTTTCATGTTGTATGCTACTTGGAGGTGGGATGGATTTGGGTGAGTTATAAATTATACAAATAAATACTCATTAATCTTTGAGTTTCCAAATAACCGAACAACATTTCTGTACTCTCACATCTCTTTTCTAGCCATCCATTCATTTTTCTCTTGGATCTCAATCATTCAAAACAATACATGGGTTTTATCCAAGACTCAACATTTTATCTTTCATTTATCACCATTCATTGGAGTGTAGCATACAGCTATAATTAACCTGCAAATTTACCTATAAATTCCTACCGATCCACAACAGTCAAAGTGACATGAACTCATACTTTTAGATCTTTAATTCATAATTATATCTTCACTTCCATGTATTTATTCATCAGCTCCCGTTCATACAATTAGATATCCTTCATACAGGTCTATTAAATCCTCCTTTCCCTTGGTTTACATATTCACAAACTTGTCTATTTTCTTTATTTCATCTACTAATTTATGCTCTTTACTATTTGCTCCTATTATATTCCAAATTACAATCTTCTGTATGCTATTGTTGTCAGTAAGAATACATATTCACTTGTGTAATTGATACTTTTTAGTTAAGTGGGGGAGGAGGAGACTAGGTTACCAGCTTTAATAATATCTGTGCCACATACAGCATTCATTGCTAATAGAAAGAACGAAACAGTGCTCAGTTTTGGCACAGTTTGGCCAAAATGCCAAAGTGCCACCAACACCCACTTTTGCCCCAAAGTACTTTACCCTCTTAATTGGAGAACTATGATATGGGTTCTCTAATTCTCTAAGATCAACACACTCTTTCCCATGTTCCACCCCAACATTTATGTAAATGTTATTTTGCAAGATACTAAGGAGAGGTTAATTACTTTTTAAAAATGAAAATTATCCATAGAATAGCAACATCAAAAAATAATTTAAGCTTGTGCACTAAAATAAACTTTGGGGAAACAAATACTAGAATGAGAGGTAGATGAAGAGGTAGTTTGCTTCTCAATTTGGGGGCATTATACTTACCATGGGCAGTTTTTGTTCTTCTTCATTCCCAGTATGCCCCTAGCTGCCCACTTGAGTCTATTTATTCCTCTTGTTAAATGCAAAGAGTTCTATTTGGGAATGCTGAAGTAATTTTCTCAGATTTGTTAACAGCTTCATACAATTTAACTCACATGGTTTCCAGCCACATAACTGACCACTCTGCCTAATAGCACATGGGAAATGCTAAGAAGCAAACACTTTTTGACACCATTATCCAATTGTTTTTATCAACTGACAAATAATGGCCCTGATATAGGTAGTAGGCAATAAAAGTAATATTGGTCTCCTTGCCAGCTGAGTATAATTACTACAAAACATATACAAAGTAATTTCAATTTGATAGGACTTAATATCTCAGGCAGTTGTATGTTTTATTACTGTGAATATTTCATAACAATCTTAGTTAAATCCCTTATGCTATTTAAAGATTGTATTGCCCCTTCATCAGAACCATTGTTTTGTATGATTTTTATCAATGTATTAGAAACTCATACTTGTTCCTACCTTAAAAACACACTCTAAGATCCAATATAGAAGTATCACCTATTGGAATCTTTTGGAAGACTTAGCTTCTAAGTAACTTCTCCCCATCCCCAATCATTTATACTGTTTCCTGAGAAAAACAACTGGTGTTTTGCTTTTTGTCAGTCCTGAAAAAAAAGCAATAAAGCCTGGACAGCAAAATGAAAGGGTTGCTCCTTTTATCAGCCCCAAGGGCTTCATTTCCTTTGCCTTTACTGGATTTCAGTGCATATATGGCCGTTTATGTTTGTGTCCCTTACATTACCTGCATTTCCATTTGTGACACCAAAATCAGCTCCATGACTGTCACGAGGTATCTGAGCTTCCAGGCCCTCACTGGTTTCATGCTCAGAAGAATCAGTGCCAACAGCCTGATCAATAAGATGGTTCGTATCAGACATCTGTCAAAAGGAAGCTAAGTAAAACTGGAACGGGCCTAGAACTACCTTGGTAGAAAAGCTGCGTCTGAGGCTCGTACGTCATTTGCTTTATCCGGCTGCAGAACTACTACTTTATCCCCGCCCCCTCATCATAATCTGATTGGTGGAAATACAAAGACCGGGGCTTCCTGCTTTCTTATTAAGGTGGTTTGCCAAAGTAATTTTTTTTAAAAAAGCTTTAGTTTTATTTGCCACCTCTGAACCGCAAGCAGATAAGTAATCGAGGACTTTTTTATAAGCAAGGGCTTTTTGCTTCCAAAAGATGACTAAGTGAAAAGATGAGAGAGAATAATTTAGTTGGGCATCTTAGGGCTACTGTACCTGAGTACAAAAATTTGTACTCAGAAGACTAGTGTATGTCTTTACTACTATCAAGTGGCCATCCAGATTTTTACAGCTCAGATATGGATGTGGCTTGCTGTGAGAATTTAATGTGTGTGTAAAGAATGTCCCTAATGATTTGAAGAATGTCAGAGATGTCTACATGATCAACGTTTTTTGTAAAATGACAAGAGATTTATTGTACATTTTTTGATTTAGAGAAAACATATGATAAAGTAAATAAGGTTGATTTATGGAATTTGTGCATGAACATGAAACTGAAAATTGATTACTGAATGCAGTAAGAGTGGTAGATGGAAGTAAAACTTCAATGAAAAAAAGTGGAGTGTTTAGCAAATGGTTCAACATCAAGCAGGGATTAAGATGTATGATGTATAATGGGTTGTTTAATAATGTATTTATGGATAAATGTATAGGAATACTTGTGTTGTTGGAAGTCCACTGGTTGGAACTTGAATGTGTATTTTTGTATGTATATTATGCTCAGATGTTGGCTAACAACCTAAATGATTTGCAGTAGATTATATGATGAAGTGAGGATTATGGATCTGAAAATTAATGTATCAAAGATCAAGGTAGTTGTGTCTGACAGAGTGAAACGGAGTAAATATTGCAAGTTATAAATCTAGAGCAGATGGTTTTGTGTGGCTAAATAGAATATTTAGCAAAGTTGGGAAGATACCTGGATGTTTAAATGTGCAAATGCTGGCAGAAAGTAGTACATAGTATGTGGCCTGCTCAGAGAAATGAATGTTTGTCAAGAGAACTGAAAATAGTTGAGCATAAGAGTGTGCTTCTGCCTATTTTGAAATGAGAGGTGACTGAAATGAGAAATGACTATGAGAGGTGACTGTGGAGTCCTTGGGGTTCTCTGAGCTTGGTTCTTTTCTTGCAAACGTTTCATTACCCGGCTAAGTAACATCTTCAGTGCTAGAATGGGATGGGGTTTGCTCTCTGTTTATATACTGCGGTGTGCACTGTTAGTGTTGGTGGGGTGGGGGGTTTGTTTTGTTCCTCTGGTAGTTCCTTGATTAGGGTATTGTTTACTGCTTGATTGTGTGCCTGGTGGTAACCTCTGCTTATCTGGGTGATGATTGCTAATCCTGGAGCTTGCTGGTTCTGTAAATATTAGAGTGGGGTCACTGGCTCCAGCACTGCTGGAGTATTCAGCAACAAGACTGCTGCTACTGGATGTCTCTTGTTCCACTCTTTCACCATCATTCTCATCCAAGAACATGTTCTCCAGCAGATAACAAAAGTTGTCTCCCTACCATGCCCAGGTCTGAATCCTGGCTGACAATAATCCAGATAATCCATTTAATCTAAGACACTCTGTACAGTAGTTTCCTCATCACCATCTCCACAACCTTCACTAAAAAAGGGAGGATGGAGACTGGGCAATGGTTATCCAACACCTCTGAAACCAGGGAGGGCCTCTTAAGGAGGAGGCATACCATAGCTTCTTTAAGGTTGCTTTGAATTCCCTCTCACAAGGAGGCAATGATAATCTCCTGGGTACAAAGAATATTCCCCCTCCAGCCACATGAAAAAGCCATGAGGGCAAGGGTCTAGGCCACAGGTGGAGGACATCCTGGTGAGCACTTCCTCTGTGGTTACAGGCCATAAAGAATTACAGATAACCTGGCAAAATATCCCAGTCACTATTCCAGGCCCTACCCAGACTTGAGCAAATCTGAAAGACTTTATTGGCACAATGCTGTGATAACTGGTCACAGCAGCCAGGGGGAAATTCTTCCTGCTAGAAACCATCTGGATCCAGAAGGTGCCTGGAGTATCTGAATGGATCCAGCCCTGTGGAAGTCATGGGCAGCCATTAATTACAGCTGGACCAGGAAATGATCTGACCATGATGAAGGGGTAACTTTCTATATCCAGATCACTAACTGCTCTGAAATGAAAATGAGGTCTAATAGATGGCCACCTATGTGTGTTGGGCCTTACATCATTTGGGATAAGCCCATGGTGGCCATGAAGACTATGAATTCCCGAACTCTTCCAGCCCCAGCCTTTCACCTAGCCCTATAAGTTAGACCAGACTAAGAAACCAATGCCATATAGATCAGGACAACATTTGTTTGTTTAATTTTATTTTGCTTAGAAAACAAATCAAACTACAGATACGGAGTGAAGGACATATGACTTGGCAATAGATAATAAAATATACAGTAAAAACAATAACAGAGTAAAAGACAGCAGTTAAAATTTTAAAATATCACAACAGAATTAACAAATTTATTAAAAAGTTCTAAGAACAAATCAAGACTCCATCAACAATTCTTGTATATATTAAGGTAAACAAAAAGAATTTGGCATATTATGTTTTGCAAACAGGGTAACTATTTCCCAAATTAATTCAAAGGTAACTTTTCTAGTTTATTCCAACATCTCCCATTTTTATATATCAATTTTTCAGTAACAACAATCTTCTATAATTTTTCATAGATCTAATGATGGAGGCACTGTATTTTTCCAGTATTGTGCTATAGCCAACCTTGCAGCAACCATCATGTATTGAACAGTTATGTTTCAGTTTTATGAGTTATCTCACTAAATAATGACAGTAATCATACCTTGGGGCCATAACTAAATTTTCCGATATCCATGCTGTTAATCTCTCTAATCACTTCTGTCCAGAATCTTTGTACAACCTCACAGGACCACCATACATGCATACAGGTACCTTTTGCTTTACCACATTTCCAACGTTTATTTGGGCCTCTCCCAGCAATTTTAGCAACTTATATGGAGGTATAATACCATATATGTATACCTTTTAAATAGTTTTCTTTGATCTTTGCTGATATAGATCATAATGTGGAGTTTGCAGTCTGCTTTGAAATTTTTGCCTGGGAGAGACCTTGCTGATGCAGTAGAACTACCTTGTGTCTTGTTGCTGTGCTCAGTCTTGCCATGGTGTATGATCTGTGACATGAAACTGTCTTCCACAACCTCACCTTAGTAGCAGAGTTTGGCTGTTCCTCACCCAGTTTTAAGCCTCTTACACAGCTGTTTCTGTTTCAGTTAATGACTGTTTCAACTTACATATGAATTTAATGATCATTAGCACCTGCTTGGTATAATTGGTTAATCATATACCTGACTCTAATCCTACAAGATCTGCTTTGAAATTTTTGCCTGGGAGAGACCTTGCTGATGCAGTAGAACTACCTTGTGTCTTGTTGCTGTGCTCAGTCTTGCCATGGTGTATGATCTGTGACATGAAACTGTCTTCCACAACCTCACCTTAGTAGCAGAGTTTGGCTGTTCCTCACCCAGTTTTAAGCCTCTTACACAGCTGTTTCTGTTTCAGTTAATGACTGTTTCAACTTACATATGAATTTAATGATCATTAGCACCTGCTTGGTATAATTGGTTAATCATATACCTGACTCTAATCCTACAAGATCCCTGGCTTTGTGCAAGTGTACAAAGTGTGCAAGTGTAAGAATTGATGCTGGTTTGAAGCCAAAGGATAGTCACACCAAATATTGATTTTAGATTTTTCTTCTGTTTGCTCACTTTGCATTTTGCAAATTGATAAACATAAACAATTACAATATATAT